AATTCTGAGACATGACGGAGCGACAGAGAGGGCAGATAAATCACTCACCCTCTTAGCGGATGTTAAAGCCAGCAGCAGGGCTGTTTTAAGAGACAAGAATTTAATTGGAACCTGATTCAGTGGCTCGAATGGAGCTTTGATCAGGGCCCGCAGGACCAGCGTTAAATCCCACTGTGGAGCAAGTGGGCGTGAAACAGGCCTGCGTCTCTGTGCACCTTTTAAAAAAATGCTTCATCAGCGGAAGATTAAAAACTGTTCTGTCCCCGAAAACCTTTGTGAGAAGAAGAGATGGCTGCTGTGTACGTTTTAATCGTGCTGAATGCCAGATTTCTGTCCATCAGCTGCTACAGAATGGACAGCATGCCACCTAGTAGACATGAGGTGGCCTCTACACCTTTCTCCGTACAGCAGCGCTGAAAAGATGTCCACTTTGATGTGTACAGCACTGTGGTAGATGCAGCACGTGAATCCTGGATCATACTCACGACACCTTGAGCGAGACCCATCCTCTCTAAGTGGATCCGCTCCATGGTCAGACCCAAAGGTGCTGGCCTATTTCTGGGTAATTCCTGATCGCTCCTCCCGCCTGGAGGAGAGCGTTCTCCCTCCATGGCAGTTTCCACGGGCGCCCCGATAACAGGTGTCGTAGAACTGGGAACAATGGTGCGTTCATGCGTTCACGCGCTCGGGAGCCACCAGGAGAGCTGTAAGTCCCTCCTCCTGAACTCGGTTCAGAAACCGTGATATCAGAGGAAGTGAGGAAATGAGTAAAGAAGCATTTTGGGCCACAGGCTGTGAGCAAACGCATACATCTCTAGCGGTGGTTCATCCCGTGGGCTCAGTGAGAACCATAGTTGACAATGAGCGTTCTCTCGTGTTTCAAACCGGACCACAGCCGCTTGCTAAATTTCTGCCGCGTCTGAGCCATCAGCTCTGGATGGGGGGTCCGGTCCCCGTGACGCGGACCATCCCTGGACATCACATATGCCCCTTTGTTCAGAACACCGGGGATGTACACTGCTCTCATGGAGAGCAGATTTTGGTGTGCCCAACACAGCAACTGTCTCACAATGTGGAACATTTGGGGTGAGCGCGCGCACCCCCCGCCGGTTATGTATGGAACAGTCACTTGCTGACTGTGTGAATCAAAACATGATGATTCCGCAGCACAGAGGCAAAGTGTTGAATCACGTTCCAAAACCGTGCGACACTCCAAAAATATTTATACGAGCTGCTGTGTGGGGTGGCCACAGCGCCCCCACAGCTCAAGAAATGTATGTGCCTCTTTGAAGTCTGACATGTGTGACGTAGGTCTGCTGACGGAAAACAGCTGTTATCACTCTGCCGGTTTCACGTGAGTTGCACTGCTGCCACCTGTCTGGAAAAGTGGGTCAGCATCAACAGGTGTCCAGATAAAGCAGAATTCTCCTCCCTGATCTATGTGGTGGCTGCAGAGCGGCTCGACGCATTTTAAATGGAAATGTTGTCTCACAGTTCAAAATTGACAAATCTAAGATAAATCTCATCTTTCTAATCCATTTGGGACCAGGAAGTGACGAGAAAAGAACCCTGGGTTTTTCTCTCCTTCTGGGACCCTGGAAATTACATTTTTAATCAGAATTTCCTGAGCTTCTGCGAGAGGGGATGAGATCTGTTCTAGAGATGACAGAAAACGTCTCTAGAGTTCCTCCGAACGGGGGGTTTGAGCTGTACTGCAGCGTGAATCCCCTGCTGATAATGGTTCATCCATCTATCTGGAACGCACGCTCATTGCCACTCCGCGTAACGTTCGGGAAGCGGGCACGAGTTTATGTTGCGTCACATTATTTACGGACGCCAATCACTGCCGTCATGTGTGCCTCACTCAGGCTGAGGGCTCACATCCGTGCTGATGTGAGCTGGCGTGCGCCGAGGGAAAAATGTGCACGCCCCTGAGCATGCGGAACCGTGTAGGTGAGGACTGCTGATGCCGCGGGACGTGGCGCTTCTGTGCTGCGCTCAGGCTGTAGGCTCACATCCGTGCTGATGTGAGCTTGCGTGTGCTGAAGGAAAGGTGCGCACCCCCGAGCATGAGGAACCTTGTAGGTGTAGGACTGCCGCGGGTGCTGCGCTCAGGCTGCAGGCTCACATCCGTGCTGATGTGAGCTGGCGTGCGCTGAAGGAAAGGTGCGCGCCCCCGAGCATGCGGAACCTTGTAGGTGTAGGACTGCTGCGGGTGCTGCGCTCAGGCTGCAGGCTCACATCCATGCTGATGTGAGCTGGCGTGCGCTAAAGGAAAGGTGCGCGCTCCCGAGCATGCGGAACCTTGTAGGTGTAGGACTGCCGCGGGTGCTGCACTCAGGCTGCAGGCTCACATCCGTGCAGATGTGAGCTGGCGTGCGCTGAAGGAAAGGTGCGCACCCCCGAGCATGTGGAACATTGTAGGTGTAGGACTGCCGCGGGTGCTGCGCTCAGGCTGCAGGCTCACATCCGTGCTGATGTGAGCTGGCGTGCGCTGAAGGAAAGGTGCACACCCCCGAGCATGTGGAACCTTGTAGGTGTAGGACTGCCGCAGGTGCTGTGCACAGGCTGCAGGCTCACATCCGTGCTGATGTGAGCTGGCGTGCGTCGAGGGAGAAAGCGCACAGCTTGGGCTGAGAGCGAGGTTTCCCACTGGACTCGGTCTGCTGAAAACATTCACTTTGACTGCTGTGTCGCTCACACGCGCATTTTGTCTGTTTTCTCAGGCTGCGGTGATTTAAACCCTGTTGGAGTACACTGGCCCGCTTGTGTGTGGAGGATGTGTAAGGAAAAAGCCGCTGTGAGATCATACGAACTGACAGTCAGGCTGAAAAACAGACACTTTAATTCCTGAATGATGTTTACGTTTTATTCCAAAAACTCAGACCATCATGCACACACATCCTCCGCAATGAATCATTTTAAAACTTCTCCCCCGTGAGCCTTGCAGCTTGTTGGAATGAGGAGGGCTGTACTCTGACGGGAGGGGCTGGAGGCGGAGCGGAGCGAGAAATCGCTGCTGCAGCTGAGGTGCGTCTCTACTGTTTCGGCCACGGCACTCTCTCCAGCGGGCACGGGGGGGGGGGGGGGGACTTAATCAGATGGCGCACAGTCTCCAACACCTCCTCCGGTTTGAAAAATTGGCTCCGAACAGCACGTCCGACGTGATGGGGCCTTCCAGCGAGTCCATTACAGCTTCTCCGACAGGGAGGGGGAGTGACAAGCCAGGTGGACCTCTGAACCATTGTCATCCAGGCTGCGATGCGAGACAAGGCAGACAGCAGATGACACGCACAGGTTGAGGGTGACGTCAGACGCCTGCAGAAGGAGCTCCTCGTCTCATCAGGCAGGTCTGTTCCTCCGGCTACTGAGATGCTGTACATCAGCGGCGCAACGTATTGTTCGCTGCGGCCGCCTGGAACGCATGCTGGTGAGCTCGGTTGGAGAGTGACATCACCATCTGGTCATGCCTACCCGGAGGCACAGGACGCTAGTCCAACCTGGACATCTTTGCCTCCGCCAAGCTTGGCTCGGGGGGGGGGGGGGGGGGGGGGACAGAGGGAATTTCCGTTCTGTAAAAACTCTTCCACTCTAGTGATGGGCACGGATGTGGAAAACCGGAAACCGGTGCTCTCAGTCTACCAGGTCCGGCTGAGCCTTGTTCCAGTAGGACGTCACTACTGGGGAAACGAGGCCAGATGGGATCAGAACGGCGAGCCGGGGTGGAGCCCAGAAACCTTCCCGCTAGATCATCCGATCTGGGCGGGGGGAGGAGAGGGACGGAAAAGAGTCCCTTCATGTCAGCCGCCTCCTGGATTATGCCGGGCAGCTCCAGAGGAGGGCACCGACGGCTGGGAGCGGTGTGGTCGCCGATGCAAAAAAGGTCCGGGGAGGGTGAGCATTCGCTCAGCCCCCCTCGTTCCGAAACTACGCTCTCCAGGAGGGAGTGAGCAGCGGGGGCTGCTGCTGACGTCGCCTGTCCTGGAGGAACCATTCGATTCGCTCTGAGAGTCGGCGATAAAAGGAAAAATAAAAGATGGTGCGTCCAGCGTGTAGCGACCAGCCACTGAGAAATATTCCTCGGTGCTTACCTTGAAACAAGGCTGCTCGTCTGCTTCTTCTCCGGGAGGAGAACTCACAGGGATGGCAGGAGGTTGGCGTGGTGGGACCACAGGCAGCCTTAACAAAGGTTGAGCTGGTCAAGCTGGACAACTTCCCTTCTTCGTTCTTCTGACAGTGCTATTAGCTTGCTGAAGAAAAATGGGAGCCGATTACCCGCTCTTAACGTAATTTATACGGACCGGGTGGGGCCCACACAACAGGTGGGCGTGGACTAAATTTTTCAGTTCAATGCTTTGCATGACGGGTTAAACTCACCAGCGACAGCCTTAAAGGGCGAAGCCTATACGAAATAGAACAGCAGCAAACATCTGGAGCACCACTGGCCGAGACACAAGTGTCTGGAAGTTCTGACCACACTGAACATGAAGCACCAGGACAAGGACATGATGAAGAATTGTTTCAAAGTTCTGCACAAGTCTCCAGAGATGAAAAACGTGAACTGTGTACAGCACAAGATATGGGAGCATGTCAAAGCCAAGTACAAAGTACTTGAGTAAAGTTAAAAACACACAGTTCTGATGTGATCTGATAAATCTGAATTTATTTAGTTTGGAGTTCGACTCCAGACTTTTGTTCTGAGGAGCATGTGAAGTTTTGATCATCAGCTCCTAATGGTAAGTAATAATGAATGTGATGTTTGTAATGGACTTGTTCTTGACATGTGTCACCTGAGCCTTCAACCTTTCCTCCTCCTTGTTGCTCTCACTGAACCTCCACGACTCGTGTTTTAACTAAGACCCACACTACACGACCATATACAACCACATCAAATGAAAACACAATAAATTATACACAAACGCAACACAAACAGCTGTAAAGCAGTAAAAACAGGAGCATGTCAGCACAAACCGTGGATCAAGACAAAGCTTCAGACCTACCGGATCATACTCCATCTTGTTGGAAACACGTTCTTAAACTTTGACTGAAAACTGCTTCAAAACGTCAAAGTTTAACGCTGCTACGCTTCCTCGTCGACTCAACTTCCTGGTTGATGAAAACAAGTCCACCAGAGTTTCGTCTTCGTCCATCAACGCAGTTTTACAGGAACGTACTTCCGGTTGCGCGAAGAAAATAAAACAACTCTCTTCCAGTTTTAGCGGTGTACTGGAAGTTTGAAAAGAACCTTTATCACTAACCATATCATTTATATTTTATTATAAGCGTGCTTGGTCATTTTTATCCTTAGAAGTAAAAAATGCACAGTGAATTTTGATAGGCTCTCATCTAGGCAGGACGATGACAATGGCATGCTTTTATTTTGAAGGTATGCCTTTCTGAACGGTGCTCCTGACGTCATCAAGTCAAGTTTTTATAAAGAACATTTAAAACAGCAGCTGTTACCAAAGTGCTTAATAAGATCAAAGGCAAGGCAGTCAAAAAATAACAAGATGTAATTTCCCAAGGCCCAAACAATAAAATCATAAACACACAAAAACAATTAGAAACGATAAAATAGTAAATTAAATCACAGTGTGATTTGTGTGTGATTTGTCACACTGTGATCACACTGGATTATTGAGCATGCATCAGGATAAATCACACTGTGTTGACGGTCAGTGAATACAGGTGAGTTTTAAGGAGAGATTTCAAAGCAGGGAGTGTAGGGGCCTGTCTAATGCTGGGCACACTCATAGGCCGCTCCGGGTGGAGCTAGGAAAAAGTCATAGCACCCCCAAGAAAATATCAGATTATTTTCCCTTTCATCTTAATTAATATTATTTAATATGTGGTTGTTGTGATATTTTCCTTGCAAAACACAACAAATTTGAAAAAACAATCAGTGATTATATTGAGTTAAAAAAAATCTGATGTCCCAACAGGAAATGAACCTCCGAACCAGAAGTGAAAATTCAAGTTACTGAAAGTTCGGTAAACATTTGAAAAGTGGACAAAATGCAAAAATGGACCATTTGCTATATATAGTTCCCACACGTGTGACAGGTGTTGCACAACACCGGGTTTTCTGTCATTTGTTGAGGCGCATGTGAAGAAAATGTCTTACAGACAGACCAGAGCTCAGGATATTGATACTCTTGACCAAGAGCAAGATATAGACATGAAATAGCGGTGGTCCCTATGAGGTGGAGAAAGAAATGATGTCCGATGAAACAGACAAGTTGTCACCAAGAAGTTACTTTGATATCGTTAATTATTAATGAACACGAGGAGTGCTACAACGGAGGAGCTTCACAGCTTTAAATCCATGGATGCTTATAATCAATGATGGATTTGTGAAGGACGTCCGAACTCTTCATGTTAATAAGTTCTGGTGACTGGCAGAGTAAGTAGTTACAATAATATACACGTAGATGTCCCTCATAGCTACATGCTACATCAGCTAAGCTAATCTTTGCTACAATAAAGATGGCTGTTATTTACTGTAGCACAGATTAGTTTAGCTGATGTAACTTGTGCTACAGTAAATATCACTGATTATTTCTCACATTACTACATTATTTATTTTGCCTATGACTGACTTTCATACTTAAATTAGTGTTAACAAAATAAATCATTTGTAATTATCGCTCAGTCATTGTATTTAACGTGTTACAGTAAATGTCACTGATATTATTTATTTTCCACTATGACTGCCTTTGTTAATAAAGTTAGTGATGAAAAGTTACAATTTGGTAACTTGTGAAACATGCATTCCTAAATGTGCGTGTTCTTAACTTTAGTTTGAATAAAACAGTTGCACCAAGTTTCACCTTCTTTATTTCAATCATTAAGATCCTCTGTTTAATCTCCAGTACTGAGAAATAGTTTCATTGTAATGTCACATCTACCGGAATTTATTCTACTGCACATCAATAAAACCTGGCTGTAGTGACTGTTCTTTGACAATTTACCAGTTTAGTGTTTTATTGACGTGTACAAAACATAAAAACATGCATGTTGCTGTATGTTCCTCCTCCAGGAGGAGACTGACACAGTTCTGAGTCAAAGCCTATAATTAGAAATTCAACACAGTTGAAAGTGATACAAGATGAGAACTGTGGGTGATTTGATGTCTTTTAATGAAAATGACTCCATGCAGCTGATCATAGTGGGCTACAGAATAAATACCAGATCATCAACACTCTTCAACAAGGACTGATGGAGACCAGTGGAGTTTCTGACTTTAAACACACTGGAACAGATTTCTCGTCATGTGGGACCACCTGACTGGAGCAGCCAACCCCTCAGGATCTGAGACTGGACCCAGGTCTAGGATCTGAGATTGGACCCAGGTCTAGGATCCGAGACTGGACCCAGGTCTAGGATCCGAGACTGGACCCAGGTCTAGGATCCGAGACTGGACCCAGGTCTAGGATCCAAGACTGGACCAGGTCTAGGATCTGAGACTGGACCCAGGTCTAGGAGAGTCCTCACACTGGAGCTTTTCTTTGGATTGAACTCGGCCCTTCACTCGTCTGTACCTTAAAAAAAAAGATCAGTAAACATTCCAAAAAAGTTCAATCTGGTCCTCTGGACATTAAAAAAAAATAAAAATAAAAACAAAGCAAAAAAAAAAAATAGAAACATTTCGTCTCTCATCCGAGGGACTTCCTCAGTCTGAGGTGCTGTTTTCAGCTCAGTCTCTTAAATAGCACCTTCTCAGAGTGGATCAACCAGTTTGCTGCTGACAACCAAAACCAGCTGCTCACATGCTCAAGAAGGACCATCAGCCTAACAATGGATGGATCATTAGCACACTGATGGCTGTTTACTGTTCACAGAGGGCTGAGTGATACTAGCAATCACAGCATTGTAAGAGGGGGACAGTTGAACACGGGGGCTCCACCCCTGTTTAATGATGGACGATTTCTTTTCACAAAGATGGCCTCCTTTACTCCTCTCTCAAACCATCGTTCCTCTCTGTCCAGGATGTGAACATCTTCATCCCTGAAAGAGTGACCGCTGGCCTGGAGATGAGTGTAGACCACAGAGTCCTGGCCTGATGATGTTGATCTTCTGTGCTGGGCCATCCTTTTGGCCAGTGGCTGTTTAGTTTCCCCGATGTAAGACTGATCACAGCCCTCCTGACACTGAACAGTGTTGGATTTCATATTTTTATACCTTTTTTATATTTCCTCTCAAGCATTCAAATGTCATGTTATACAAAGTGTGTGCGTGCCTTTCTTCAAGGGTTGAACTATATTTATAGAAAATGTTTACTAATTCTAACTATTTTACCTTTACATATAATCTTATATTAGCTAATGATAATCTTACAAGTTCACATTTGATATATTACAAGCAATCAAATCATGCCAGATAGCAGACTGATTAACATAAATAAAGCTAGAACACATTTCTTTAATTTAGACTTAATATAGTTTGACTAAATAAAATCCCTCAGGTTCTCTCTTAATAATAATTAGCATTTAATCGTTTAACCATTGTTTGATGATGGGTCAGTTTAGATGAGAGAATACAGGTTTAATCTTCACAGTAAAGTGGGGTGACTTCAACTGAACTAAAACACAAGTATAAGTCAGAGGGATAAATTAAGAACACATAAACATGAGTTAGTTAATAATTAATAGTTATTAATTATTCCTAGAAAGAAACAATTTTAACTCAAGATCATTTGGTATCACTAAGGTATAATCAACTTAACTGAAACAGAGCTAAAACAAAGAACCGATTTCAGTGTGCCATAAACTTTTTATCTGTAGAATGTAGACTAACGTCCTTCAGGGGGCGGGCTAGACCAGTAACCATGGCAACTGAAGGGCTAAACCAATCAGAAGAGCTAGCTTTCTCAAGCTTTGATAAAAGCTGGAAATGACACACGCTCAGCGAGCATTTCCGGGGAAGACCAGACCGAGACGGTTCGTTCTTTTAATGCTCCAAATATATGCATATATTTTACAAATGT